ATACAAAATAACCCTGCTATAGCAGATTTAGGTTACACATCATAAAAAGTTGTTGAACGTAGAAAATCTTATTGCTTCTTCCAGAAAGTTCCTTTTTTGCAATAAAACTTTTACCTGTTAGTGTTTTCTGCCACATTACGTTGTTATAGACTGAAAACATAAAAAGCCAGTTTGAATAAATGTCAGGAACCGATTGAGAAGCGGTGATGATGAGTGCTAAGCATAATTTAACTGGACCTCAGTATTGCAGAGAGCAGTTCTATTTAAGGCTCCAGCCTGTTTGGCCAGAGGGCTGAACTGAATTAATGTCTCTTTTTTTTTTGCTTTTCAAACACACCAAGAACCCTCACAGGACTCCAGAGTCACTGTCATTCTCATTTTCCTAATTGTAAGAAAAAAATGTCAATAAAAATTGATCCTAGTCTTATTTGATTCTCTCCTGGTTTGTTTGGTTCTTGATGTTTACCCTCTTTATTGTTCTGACTCACAGGAGACTGGACTCCAAAGTTCACCAATAAAGACGTGTGCAGACTGGGGTGGCCTGCAATTCAAACCCACGCTCAAAACAACACATAAAAAACTCCATCATATGGGATTTCACAGAAGAAACCCTAAATAACAGTGTGAGTCATGACAGTATGAAAACACATGGAACAAATAAGGCTTTGATTCGTTCGAGATAACCTTACCTAATTAAGAAAAAAAGGAACACCAATGTCAGCTCCTTCTTTGCAGTTAGATAAAACTCTGCTCCTTTCATGAGTGAATAATTTAATGATTCCCCAGTAAGGACTTCAAAGTTAGTTCTAAACGGTCTGATTTCAATATGCTTCGTCACACATGCAGACCAGCGACAGGAAGGCTTCATCTGAAAGGGGCCAGCATTTCTACAGTATGTAGAACGGCCATCGGGGGCTGTGAGCAGAGGCATCACTGGCAGCTTGGTGTTTCCTAGAAAGGAAGAATGCAGCTAACCTTTCCTCACAGAAGACAAAAAGGTATTATCTTTATCCATCCATCCATCATCCATCCATCCGGAATCTATCCATCCATCCGGCATCCATCCATCCATCCTCTTCCTCTTTATACGGGTCGACAATAAAAGTAACTAGTTATTAGTAGAAGTAACTATTGCGTTACTTTTGCATTTCTCGCCCCCGTAACCCTCACCACCCGGCCCCCATCTTCTCACTGTGTGTTTCCAAAGCCAGCTGAATAGAGCGGACGACAAAGACAAGAACCTGCAGAGAGTTTAGCATTTATTGCAACTCAACCTAAATGACATCAGGGGGGAACGCTATCTGACGGGCC